CTACCTTTCAGTTGACACCGTGAAGATCCGGGGTAGAACAGGTCTTCAGCAACCCATGCTTGCCGTAAAAGGATTGTCTGGTCCAGTTTCGATTATTTACAGACCGCCGTCATATAGCTGGAATATTGCTGAGTGCGGCAAACAAACAAAGTTGACAGACGTTCATTGTTTCATTAACTAGTTCCATTCCTATTCTATTAAGAGCACACACACATATCCACAACGAACCCCACACCCACCCTACCACTTTTCAGACAGTCTTCGTTTAAATCCTTTTTTTTATTAAAGTTGTACCCGCGCATGCAACCTGAGCTGACATGTTTCTAATGCCGTCAATTTCCTCAGAAGTTCTGACTCAGCAAACTGTAGGCTGTCTTAACCTAACTTGGCTAGAAAAACCCACACGTAGACTACCTGTGTGCCTGATTACAGGTAGAGGACACATGTCTGTTTTCTGCCCGTGCACGCCGGAATGTGATACCGTATATCTTAAAATTCCTAAACCGGAAACGGCGAGCTGTCACGCACATGTGTGTACTGTGTAATATCATAATGTTGACCCTTTAAGTGTCGGGGCTTCTTGCTATTCTCGATCTGGAATTGACAAATGTGTAAAATGTTTAACAGTCATGTCAAACTCAGGTTTGCTGTGTCACGTTTGCTGTGTCTCGAACCAAAATCCTAAGAAAAATGTGTTTACTATGCAGCAATCATATTTACACATCATAATTTCATGAAAACAAATACATTTAATCTGACTTAGTAGAGGGTTTAAAAAAGCTTTGAATTAGCTGATATATATTTTTAAGACTGCCAGTTTGACAGAGGTGAGATCAGATGACATGAAACGGGGTTTATTGCGCTCACAGCGACGTGCATGCATGTGTGTAAATCGGCTTGTACTAGTCCTAACTTATCGTTTGCCGTTTTTACAGTGCCAGCCCACTCGGGGCTCAGTCACACATTCAGGGTTTTTACTGCCGTCCTAGATAGGACCATTCCCGATTAAAATTTGTCAAAAGTCTGATCAAGATCCTGTGATTGTGGCGGGAAATTCACAAACAATCAGATATTGTTCAGGTAGCATCCCGATTCAGCCGTTTCCAGCCGAGTTCGTCCCGATTCTTCCGTTCTCAATCCGAATCTGATCCGATTTGTATCTTCCGCATGGTAAAAAAACGACCGAATCTGTCCTGACAGCGTCCCGATTCTCCCGAATGCGATCCGACAGAGATCAGATAGTGACCGGACAGTGAACCGACAAAGACGGTTCGCATTCGGCAAGATCTGCACGCAATCTGGACTCAATCGACAAGAAACGGCAATGAACAATTCATGCCCGTTCACCACGACAGCGTCCCGATCCACAGGACACCGCCCTGACAACACAGGACATTGTTACGATTTTGATCCGATACAGCAGAATCTTCCACGACATAGTCACGATTGTAATCCGACTAGGCAAAATCTGCTGAGTTTCAAGAATGTTACGGGAGTGCTTGGCCGACCTCTCTGGACCTTTCCCGATCAGTAAAACTCTGTCACGAACGTATACGACTGCGTTCAGACAATGATAGGACATTCCAGATCATTCAGGATAGCAATCCGACTTTTTCAATTTCGTGTCGTAGCGCGGTCTGATCCAAAACGGGAGCCATAATTGGCACTGTGTGAACCTGGCCAAAGATATCACCGACTCCGAGCAGACCAGGCCTTGTTTATACCCCTAATGCCGAGCGCCAGGCACATTAACAACAAGTACCATCTTTTGGTACGATCTGGGGATCGGACCACCGACCTTCCGGTCTCCGGGCAGACGCTCTATCCGCTACACCACATATGTAGTTATGACATGCGACAGTTACTATATGTCACAGACATATATATTTTCAGGAATGACACGGGCACAAAGAAAGCACAAAGACGTCGGTTAAAAATATTTGTTGCAGTCCAATTCTGACAATATAACTTTACAATAAACACAAAGAACCCCCATCAATTACAACAAAACGTTCGTCGTAGTTTTGAATATGAATCAAAGACACTTAGTGCCAAGAGATCCTTAGGGAATGGGAACTGAAGACGTGCTAACACCATCCGCATACAAAATGAACAACGCTAAATCGTGACAAGCCATGCATTCTGTTTAAGGGATATCAGATTCCATCCAAATTGCAATTACGTAATTGCATCACCATGGATACAAGTCCAAGTCCTAACAAAAGAGATGCCAAAGACGTGTTTTTCTACCTATATCTGGAAATTACCCTCGAAAATTATCTTCAAAAAAGTATAATTTGAAAATTCAGGAAACTAATCAAATATGAAGTCATATCGTGTTTAAAGAAATATTGTAATCGCTTCGTGACGTGTTTGCGATATTGGCTATTAATGAAGCTCTTCAGTGCTAGTTTATATTCATTGGATGCATTAAGACCTCGGCGTGAAGACGATGAAGGGATGGACCAGACAATCGTTCTTGTCTATAGAGTGCGAGATGACCCAGAACAATTTTACGTTGCCATCGAGCGGTCATTCCATAAACGGCACGAGTGTAGGATTTACGTCACCAAAACAAATATAGCTAAAAATGAATAGTAGAGTTAACACAATATAGGCTCTGGTCACATCTGTCTTCCAATGAAAACTAGATGCGCCAACCAAACATAAGACACCATTAAAGGCCAGCATCCATTCTGTTAAACACCAAAGTCTTAAGGGATCGACCCAGCCGCTTTGACCCTTGTGTGATATAACGTTCGGCACAGGCGTACAAAATATAGTTAATACCTCAAAAAGACGTATTGATCCTGTGTCAATAGTCGAGGATCAGCCACACCTGGCTTCTGCTGCATATTTGTCAACGAACCACGTGGTGGTGCCGGGTTAGGATAGCAACCTATCAACTATTCTTATCGTATGTGGTGACTAATTGTTTTTGTTTGTTTGTTGTTTAACGCCGCCCTCAGCAATATTCCAGCTATGTGATGGCGGTCTGTAAAATAATTGCAATTGGAATCGATGACGTGTGTCAACCAAGTCAGCGAGCCTGACCACCCGATCCCGTTAGTCGCCTTTTACGACAAACATAGTCGCCTTTTACGGCAAGTATGGGTTGCTAAAGACCTATTCTACCCCGGAATCTTCACGGCATTGGTGACTAATTGAATCGTGTGGTCAGACTTGGTAACTTGACAAGAGGTGTCATAGTCGCCAGATTACGTTGGACGCTTCTCCTAATATCAGTCACAGGTTTGTCTGACTGACTCGATTATTTACAGGCTACTGTCGTATGCGGCATTAAACAACAAACAATATTAATTTGAGTTCTGTTGTTCAACGCCGCAATCAGCAACATTCCAGCTATATGACGTTCATTGCAGATAGGGGCGGTCGGGTAGCCTAGTGGTTAAAGCGTTCGCTCGTCACGCCGAAGACCCGGGTTCGATTCCCGACATGGGTACAATGTGTGAAGCCCATTTCTGGTGTCCCCCGCCGTGATATTGCTGGAATATTGCTAAAAGCGGCGTTAAACCATACTCACTCACTCACTCATGGCAGATATTATCGGCGACGTATTATGTCACTGCAACTATTGTCGGCATTCGTCAGAGCAAATTAAAACAAACTTGGAGATGACGTTGTTGATTATGATGGTCATGTTGATTATGATGATCATTATTACATTTATAAAAAAAACATGTTAGACTTGACTTTTATATTTCGCCAGCGACAATAGATGGCGCAACACGTATACCTCAAAGTCTCACTCGGAATCCCCACATCGATGTTGTTCAAGTAAAGACATTAAGGCGCTGCAGCAGTTATACAACAAAGACTAGGTAACACTCGTATTTACTGTATGGACGGCTAGCGGTGGATCGTGTTGTCGGCAGTCTTTGTTAATAGTAGAGATGAAGCTGTCCACAGTGAAAAGCGACGATTAGACCCCTTATCGATCTCCATGTACAGTGACGACCAAACCAGTACAACGGAGAGGTCAGAGATCAGTGGCAACATTATTATTAACTTATTATTTTGGTTGTCCTTTTGTTGTTCTTACATGTACATATATATGCTCCTTTCGTGCTCATTATTCTAATTATTTTTGATAATCTTAATAAATGCGTGATTATTAATATTATTGATAAGTCTACACAAGCATGATAATGATTATCATCCTCATCATCATCATCATCATCATCAGGGATAATCATAACGTAAACTAATACAAATGTTCTCCCTTATAAAACACGGAACCTGTTAATATCGATCGTCTATTCTGTCATTTTTCCTTACATTGACAGTAAACTGAAAAAAAAAATTATAAGTATTTGAATAAAAAACAAACCTACTATTTTCCAAATGATAGCATACATATTGTATGTATTGTTACGTGACACCCCATTTCAACATTATTCCTATCCTAGTTCATCAAGGATCCCTTTATATAGTACTATGACCCTGTTAGTGACCATATATATCTTGCTGCTAATGTTTGCGTTACAAGCCCTCGTGTTTCATCTCAAACAGAGTTCATAAAAGAGCAATAACATCCAAGCTTAAACACGGTGCGTTTCTCCTCAAAGTAGATATCAACGTTTGAATTGAGGTCACAATGTGTAAACGTTTAACCATCACTTCAATCATATTTTATTAATATTCCGAGATTTAGAAATATAAGAATAAACGCCTTCAATTAGAATACTGATGCTTCATCGTGTGATCGTTTGAAAGAAATATTAGTATTCATGACATAAGAAGTTTTTTGGTAGTCAAGAAAAATTATTCGTAAACATCAACACAGTCGCCTATTATGCAAGGTAACATGCATTACATAACCGTCTTCGTGTCCATTTGTACTGGAAAAAAAACATTTACATTGTACGTACACACACATATTTTCTTTACAGTAAGTGGTGTTATTGACAACACTGATAAACTATTCGTTCACAGATATGCGTAGTTCAATGACAGTTCCAAATATCGTGAAAGCTTACCTTGTTTGTGAAGAGTAAACAAATCCGAGGGACTCCTCCGAATAGAGACATACGGTGTCACCGATACTTAACGTATCGTCCATGATGCTAAAATATCTCGCTTGTCTCGAGACGCTCTTGCTGAATGCATATACTCCGTAACAAAATCAAAATAAAACCAACACCCTTACTCCTGCGTTGGGGTAGGCTAACTGGCTAGCAGAGTTCAGTTAAGCGCATTGTGAAGGATTTCCTTAATGCTATATTTGTTGTCGATACAACAAGCATGCGCTCGTTCTGACTACCCGTGAATGTATGAAAACAGAACGTCAGGCGCTCACGCTTGGAGGGATCGTATTGGTGTGACAACTAACTATACTCATAAATTATTACCGACGTACTCAGACGTTGCTCTTTAGCGATCGATATCTGAAAATCACTCTCGTTTATTGTTGTTTTCTTATCGATATTTGTGAAACATTGAGACGTGACTTATTTTAATAGAGCATCGAAGACCAAGATAAATAAGTAATGTCCCTATGTTCACGACACCATGTTATCCTTGAACACCATAAATGTTTACTTCTGTGTGCCTTTTAAAGATCAAGACATCGGTTGATTGCAATATTTAAGATCGTTGTGATCATGCTAATCGAAGTTTCAATATTCATGTGATACGACAAGCTTTAATGTGCACTAGAAACACCTTTATAGATCCGGTATGAACTACGAATCTACGAATCTATGAAATTATATTGATTGTTTACTTGTTGTTTGAAGCCGGATTCCGCAATATTACAGCTATATGACGACGGTCTGAATATACTCAATCCTGGACCAGACAATTTGGTGATTGACATCATGAGCATCGATCCACGCAATTGGGATACGATGACATGCATGAACCAAGTCAGCGAGCCTGACCACCCGATCCACGGCCAGCATAGGTTGCTGGGGTCTTTATTATTACCCGGAATGCCCATGGAATATCATTTCAAACTCAAATGAACCTTTCACTCCATATATCTATAGGGCGATGTAAATGTTAGCCCCTATAGAATCCTTATTGATACGATAGACTTCTGTCGACAGTCAGCTTTTCTCGAATTCAGATTATTCGAATTATGTTCGTTAGATTATGTTCTGGATTAGACACATGACAATGCGGACATTGAAAGGAAACGTCATTGATCTATATTAGACTGTTTGTTATAAAAGTGTAGTTATGACTGATGATGATGATGATGATGATGATGATGATGAAGATGATGGCGTTGTTGTTGTTGTTGTTGTTATTATTATTATTATTTATGTTTGCTCTTTTGAGAATCATTACCCGTCTTCGTGGCTACCCTTCTTTTATTATATGATACTGCGATACATGGTTCTACAAATACCTTTTAGTGACATATGTTCTTCATAAAAAACACGTTAGAACGTTTTCCTTTTTATGAAACGACGATTGCTCAGATGCTCACTGAGTACTTATCTATAATGTAATAGTTTTCTCACAACAATATTATCGTCTATAACAAGAACGCGAGGACTATTGTTAGTTGCGAGGGGACCGGTACACACACATGGGCGAGGGGATCAGCCCCTCGCAGACGGCATTATGTTGTCATGGTGTCAGTCACATGACCTCTCAATCGGCACGGAGAGCGTGTACATTAAATCCCCTGAACCGTAACGGGCTTTGCCGGATCACTATCCCAATCTTAGTCCTGTCACCAGTTACCTCCCTTGACTACAAAAGTAAGGCACGTTAAAACATATGCGGTCCACACCATTCAGGCTTGGGGAGTAACATTTGTGACTTGCCAAAGCTCAGCGGTCAAAAGAACCAACGTGACAATATATGTTTTTGTGTACAATGTAGGTACGAGTAAGTGTAACTTTTTATATTTGCTTACAACGACTTACCATGAATGCGGAAAGTTCTGAATAGTCATTGATGGAATGCATCGACATATTTATACATTTGGTTGGAGTGAAACAGGATGTTTTCACGGGTGATTGACGCTTGATAATAACACGCATGAGTGGGGGTTTTGCAAGGCCACCACGCAGTGTGAAGTTCTGAGGGGGCGGCACAATGACTCGCAACACGAGTTAATTAAAAGGCCACCACTGGCCGATCAATATTTCCTTAGTGACGACTGGGGTTACACGAATTTAGTATATCTAATTGAGTGAGTGAGTTGGGTTTAACGCCGCTTTGAACAGTATTCCAGTTATATCGCGGCGGGTCAGCTTAATGTGGGAGGAAAGCCCGAAGTGATGCAGGTGTCAGACGTTTACCACTTCGGTGAAACCCACGAGCTATGGTATGGAGCTGACAAACCTAGAAACATAATCGGGGCGAACCGGGATTCGAACCCACAATCATAGGTTTCTGGCATGCCCAAGGAAACCTTAGACGAACCGCGGCGCCTTAGACGACTGGGCCACCCGTGCCCCCCATCACTTAATGAGGCGAAGTTACATCAACATATAAAGTAGCTCGAGTGTGCCCATAAGTGTATTATCATATTCTCGAATACACGCTGAAGAGTTTGTCTTGGACATATTATCATTCAGTACGCATGAGTTTGTTGATTTATTTCCATTGTGTTAAATACCATTGATACCATTGTGATCCATACCATTTTCAACCCGATTCGAATGTTACGACGCTGAAATAAACATCCAGTCAAACAACTCTCATGAGCGAGAGAAATCCTTTGCTAAGTTAGTGATAGGCCAGATGGAGATAGTGACGTCACTTCCGACATTAAGCTATGATGTTGATCGGAATAGAATGTTAGATTCTGTTTAGTTTGTTGTTCATCGCCGCTCTTAGCAATATTCAAGCTATATGACGGCGATCTGTAAATGGCTGGGCCAGTCAATCCAGTTATTCACGTTTGATATTCGAATGTTTATCCCATTGAATCGAGGGATGTATTTGACGGAATCAGTCGTACAGCCCGTAACAGTCGTTCGGAATTCCCCAAGTTAACCTTTACGAGGTTGCATGATTAGAAAACACATTTCTTCTGTCACTTTCCAGGTCTCATAAGCGACGCTCTGATTGGTCGTATGAAAGGTCGTTCTGACGTGACCCGTAATTTGATGTCCTCGGATCTTTGTTTAGCGGTAGAGATCTGATTTAAATGAGATTGCTAAGAACTGGGAATCGAACGTCTGTTGACTGGTGGCTGCTTTAAACACCAAGCTATCCTACTGCACTTTCTAGGGGGAACGGGTGGCCCTGTCGTCTAAGGCGCCGCGATTCGCTGTGCAGAGTTGCGTCCCTTCGACGCGCCAGAAACCTATGATTGTCGGTTCGAATCCCGGTTCGCCACGATTATGTTTCTAGGTTTGTCAGCACCATACCCGTTCTCGTGGGTTTCACCGAAGTGGTAAACGTCTAAGACCTGCATCACTTCGGGCTTTCCTCCCACATTAAGCTGACACGCCGCGATATAACTGGAATACTGTTAAAAGCGGCGTTAAACCCAACTCACCCACTCACTCACTACTGCACTTTCCGCAAGCAAAGCACGATTTGAATGAAATCAATACATGGTCTAGGTATTACGCCGCAACAACATGATGTATATGTTACAGCCAATTTCTATAATCAGGCAATATGTATATTGACTAAAATCCTGTCAGATTGTATATTGACTGATTTCACTCGAGCAATGTACAATTGACTGAAATTTTCAGTCAGTCTACATATTGCCTGGAAAATGAGACTTAAATTTTGAGACAGATTGATTGAAATAAAATGAAATAGTCCTTCATTTTTTTAATTTTAAAAATATTTTGCCCTAAGGTTATTAAATGGAGCGCCTTGTGCATGGAGCGTTATAAATGGACTTATCGTTATAATATACCAGGGGGAAAAAACTTCGGGGGAGTGGTGTAAATGTTGTGTTATTGAAAATAACAACATTATATTAGGTCTTTCGTCTGATCAACGTTTTATCATAAGAAATTTATTGACAAAACCCTTACCTGGTAGCAGGAGAAATTGGGTTTAACGTCGCGTCCAGGGTTTGCACTTATATAGCAATGTGCATACACGTGCATGTGTGTGTGTGGCTGCTTGTACTCGTCCGGACTGATGGCGATTTATAGTGCTAGCCCACTGAGATACCATGCCACAGTTTAACATGAATACCCCATTCAGACACAGTATACTGACTCCGAGCCGACCAGTCCTTGTTTTAGCCCCTTAATGCCGAGCTTCAGACAGGGAAACAACAAGTATCATCTTTTAACGTCTTTTGGTATGACACGGGCGGGTATCGAACCCCGGCCCTTCCGCTCTCCTAGCAGACGCTCTACCACTAGACCACGGAGGCGGTCTTGTAACAGGAGACAAAGAGACCAAAAAGAGGGGTGGTGTGACAACTCAATTAACAATGTCAATATCGGGTGTGATCACCACTTGCGTTGATAAAGGCGAGGCAGCGGCGGTGTATTGAATACACCAGATGATCGAAAACAGCCTGGGCTTTGTTGTTTCAAATGTCCACCAAAGACTGGCCCAACTTTGGTAGCGTTACCGGCTGGTTTGATCCTGTCGTAGGCGTCAATCCATCTCATCCCAGACAAGTTTTATGGGGCAGAGGTCTGGAGAAACAGCCGGCCATGGCAGTACAGCTGCCTCAGAACTCAGAGATGAAACATGGACTCAGATGTGCCTCTTCGACCGGTTGCGTACGGTTCTGCCACTAATGGGTCTCAACCGAGGAATTGTCAGAGCAGTTTGGTCTCGATTCCGTATATGGACCAACCGAATATGGTTACCTTGTTGATGTGGCGTCACACGTGGACGACCAGCTCGTGGCAAGTCATGAGTGTTGCCGTAGTGTAGATAACGTCTCCAAAGATAAAATTGTGTTTCGGTAAAATTTCGGTCAACTACGTTTTACGCAATTCCTGTTTGCAGCATGCCCACGGCGTTATGACGTCGATTTTCAGCAAATCGTGGCATTACGCAAGCGTTATTTACGGTTAAACAAAACCGTTTTTCATGAGCACCATGAATTGTGTACTGTTCGCATTAGAAAAGCAGGTGTATCAGTATCATGCTCCCGACAAGCATACAAACATCCAAATTGTATATGAACATGCACGCGCAAATTGTGAATCACGACCTTGAAATCGAAGCGACGTCTTCATGAATATGTAATGAAAGATGCATTATTTAATTTCAGAATCTTAAAGAATTTCACAGTTTTACATGTAAGGCTGACCCTTAGCGCTGGATGAACCGGAATACAGTAAACTACGGTTATA